CAGGTGGATGCGCAACTTGTACTGGAGCCTGCCGGCGTTTAAGGAGACGACGCAGTTTGATCATATTAAGTGGCATTACACGCGGAGTCATACGCAGATCAACCCGTTTAGCATCACGCCTGTCGGGCCGCTGCCGCACATTTTGCCGCTGGAGGAGGAGGTGCCTGCGGTGGTGGCGAGAGTGTAGAAGAGTTATTGGGAGGAAGAGGCAAAGTTGGAGGGTATGTTTGGGAGTAGGCTATTGGGGGAAGTTTTTCGTGTGACATGGAGGTCTTTATTAGTTAGAGTTGTGAGTGCGAGGGAAAAAAGTGTGGAGGGTACTGTATTGGGGTTCCTTTTAATTGGATGGCGATGATGAGGGTGAGGTTACCTTACCCTAGGATGATGCTTGATTGTTTGGGATTGAATTGGCACATTGAATATTAGGACGAGTGGTTATGATGAAAATGAATTATAGCGATATTTCATCTTGCTTTCGAACTACTTTACCCCGACTCTTTGATCATGACAAGGTTCCATGTGAATTTGAAAGTTGTCCTCTACATGTCCTGATAAGGTCTGGAAGGTTCTTAAGTCTCAACTGAAACTCAGCTGCCCAGCTGTGGGTAAGCGCCTACAACCAACACCAAACAAAGAATGAAACAACGTGCTTCGTATTGGGCATTTCTCTTTGTTGGATGCATTGCCTGCTTCCATTTTATTCTATTTCGCCCTGTCTTTGTGTTCATATTCATCCATAATTGCTGCACCCAAATTCCAGCCGTCCTGCCTCCATTCCCACAGCGGCGACGTGCGACTTTAGGCTTCAAAGCTCCAGGCAGCCTGACCACCGCTCGCTTGCCCGCCCCCTCCACTGAGAAGCCCTGGTGTGCCACTGAAAGACGCTGCTAGCCGCCTCCGTAATCTCGTTGACTCTCCTACCTCCATGTACCGAATAATTCCCATAGTCCTTCTCCCAAATCAGGTCCCCACCAAAAACGCAATCTGCTCCCATCACCATCACCAATTTCCACCTCCTCTCCAACCGACCGCCTTTCAAATCCTCTCTCCCTCTCGAATCGTCCCGAATATCGATACTCGTCCGCGCGAAAATCAACCTCTCAACATCTCTCGCTCAGTCCTCGTGATCCAGCGTCTTCTTTTTTCCCGCCCGACCACCCAAACCTTCCCCGCGCACGCACCGCACACGCACACGCACAACGCACGGCTGAAGCTACACTCATAATTGACCCTTTTCCCTCTTCTCCTCTCGTCTTTCGTCCCTTCTAGTGCTACTATCCGCCAAGTCTTTTTTTCTTGTTCCTCTTTTTGCGGGAAAGTCTTTTACTCTCTTCGTTCAATCTCTTCTTCGGTCTTGCCTTTGGGTTGGCTGGCCCCAGCTGCTTGTCAAGCTCCGTGGTCGGCTCTCCCTCCTCGAAATTGCAACGCGTCCTTTATGGTCACTGCCTACACCTAACAACTATAAAAGCTCCCTTGGCCATCAAGCATCTGCTCGTGTGCGGCATCTACAACTTGCGACCCTTTGCAGAGCTCGTCCATTGACGCACGTTACATCACCCCACCAAATCGAACTACTACTACTCAATAACCCTCGTCGACGCTTAGGCTCTAATCTCCCCCCTTCCGGCTCTCGGCCAATTATCTAAAGGGTTCAACCATTTTGTCCAGTGATTTAGTCGAGATATTCGCCGGATGAGCGTCGCGCATTCGCCGCCTTGCTATGGCCATTCGATACACTGCAGAGCATCTGCTCTTCTTGAGGGAGTCGCCGCTATGCATCAAACCTGAGAAACTGCCTCCCGCAGAGGAATGGATGGGGTGAGCACAATTCGAGGCTCGCTGAATGGCTTCAGTGGTTGCTTTGTACTGGTATTAACATAATGCAGGGCACCCCCAGACCAGACTCGAGCGCAGAACAAACCGGTCAACGATCGACCTCGGTCCCTGGACAATCCGCTTCTTGACCAGACAAACCGCCGCCCAGGCATCAACCACACCTCGCGGACCAGTACAAGTTGGTTCCATCTTATAATACTCGTGCTGTGGATAGCTATCTGTTGCTAACAATGTAACTCTTCAAGATCCCGATGACATTGTCTTTGCTCCTCCTCGGATGGCATTTGCTTCATCTGGCCGAGGTGGCAAGACGCTTGATGGTGAAAAACCGACCAAAGACGCCGACCCCGCAGGTCGGTTCGCCTTGCGCAATCGAAACAGCGAAGCCGACGGCGACCGTCTGCGCGCACCCAATGCTGTTCGTCGCCGCGGAGAAAACGACCTAGATAACGATGGCTGGAGCACAGTCAAGCCCCGCAAAAGCTTTGGTGCTGAGGGTGCCGAGCGTTTCCACGGCCGCATGGGTGGAAACTTTCGAGATGAGAAGAAGCCCCTGCGAGAGAACGATCGCGATGCCACTCGCGACCGCCCAACAAGGCCCTTTGATACCTTTGTTCGAGACAACAAGGAAGCTGAAAATGACACTCGAGCACGCAACGGCGCTGGGAGGAGCAAAGTGGACTCTTGGCACAAGGCAGAGTCAATGCCGACAGAGTCCCCTGCGGCCGAGCGAAAAGAACGAGACCGAACCAAGAGTTGGAGAGACCGAGATACTACTGAAACTGCGGATGACCGTACCAATGGCAGGGCACCCGACAGGCGATGGGCTCGCGACCGCGAACAGCGTGTTGAGCGTGAGCCCGAATGGTTCGACGAGCCTGCCGAGGCACTCCGCGAGGCACACACCCAGCAAGACTTCCAGAAGTGGATGGAGCAGATGAAGAAAGGCAAAGGAGGCGGTGATGCTCCAGAGCGCCCAGCTGCAGCAGCAGCGGCTCCTGAACCTGCTGTTGAGACTGAGAGGTTTCAACCTCACCAGCCTACTGCTATCGAAGTTGCCCCTGACAAATTCTTCCTTGCCTTTGGCGGTATGCAAGCACAGGGACCTCTAGAGCCCAACTCCCCACCCAGCGAAGTAAACGATGCAGCTGCCAGGCCCAAGACCGTGGGCAAGTCATCAAGGTTCACGTCCTTCTTCCACCAACCCCAAGAAGAACCACGAGGCAGAGTAGAACTGTCGACGAGCGTGCCGCCTGCACCTTCTCAGTTCCCCCCGGGACTAGGACCGCTCGCAGGAATGGCTCCTCCTCCTCAAGAAGAAGAGAAACAGGCTTTCCAGCAGCTACTGCTGAAGCTTCAGAAGCAGAGCATGAGTGCCACCCCTCCGGCTCACTCACCATTTGCTGCCCCACCACCTCAAGGAAATCTTCCAGACATGTCGAAAAAGAGCAACCTCGCATCCCCAGAGCCATTCCAACAATACGGTGGCGATAGAATCAACGGCGGCATTGGCCGCCCGCCGCCACCGCAACATGTTCAAGAAATCCTTGCACCTCGACCACAGCAACAGTCTGCTCGGCCAGACCAACTTCTCCAAGATCTCGCGGGGCACCACCAGCGTATCTCTAGCCAGGGCTCAGGAATCCCTGACCAGGCTCGCAACAACAACAATACCGAGTTTTTGATGAATCTCATGCGAATGGGGCCCAGTGCTCCGCTAAGCATGCCCCAGCCCCAGCAGCAGAAGCAAATGCCGATGCAAGAGTCGGACTTCTCGCCAAGAGAGAATCGGGGAGTGCAGCAACGCCAGATGCGCCCCCAGCCGCCTCCTGGCTTTCCCATGGAAGAGTCTTTCCACAACGCCGAACGCGATTCCCGTCTCGGCCAGCCCACTCAGATTTTGCAACGACCTCCTCCCCCTCCTGGGCTGGATCAGATGCCACCCAGCTGGATGACCAGCGGAGGACAGATACCGCCACCACAGCAGCGAGGCCCCATGATGCCTCCTCCTGGATTGCCCGGTGGCTTAAACCGCAACGTTCCCATGCCTCACATGTTTCCCCCCAACTTCCCTCCTGGTGGCATGCCGCCCCCAGATGCAATGGCTGGCATGCCTCCACGCAACATGCCTCCTCCTCCTCCTCCTGGCTTCTTCAACGGACCGCCTCATGGGTTCATGCCTCCTGGACTCGGTGGATTCAATGGACCCCCCGGACCACCAGAGCCTTTTGGTGGATCTCCTTTTGAGGCCCGTGGCATGCCTCCAGGTGCCGCTGGTCGGGGTGCTGCCTTTGGCCGGCCATAGGTTGCCGCATGATCACGATAGTGAACTCTGCTTCTAATGGCAACTCTCAACTATCAAAAGCAGAACGGCATTCCGTGTTATAATTTGTGCAGTCAAAAAACAAACTACATTTTTATTATTATTACTAGTATGACTTTTTCTTGGAGCTATGAAGGCCGAGTTTACAGGACCCAAGGGGTTATGGGTTCTAAGGACCGCTCTTTGCTTGCAATGTCATATGATTTTGTCCTGGGAAATGCTTACGGGGGAAGTAGTCTCGGTGACGAGGAGAGGCTCACAAGTGCACGGATTGCCAGATATAGGGGAAAGGAGATGTAATGCGGGCGATGAGAATGAAAATATGTTGCAAAATTTGAGCCTCGTTGAACATGTGACAGTACCTGCTTGTAGATTTTTGTTCGTGTAGCAGACGCACACAATGTGGTGGTGGTACTGCTGATATCGACTCGAAGATACCCTGTGAAGTATTGATGAAGAGAGCATTACGATTGCAGCTACAGTTGAGACGATTAGTTTACTATTGCTGACGTTTGTGATGTTTGCCTTACTCTGTTGAATCTTTTGACTGCCCAGCTTTGAGAATGGTTACCTCAGTGATCTGTGCTTCTGAAGATGAGCAGAGTCAATCGTATGACGGAACCTTGGCGGACTTGTCCCAACCCTATCACTGCTGGAAGTTGATCATATTCACATGCCGACAAAAGCGTAATTGCAAAAGTCCATACCGTTAATCAAACAATCGAGGTTAGTTCATACCGCACGCTATTGCATGCAGCTAGAGTGCAAACGTATCGACGAATCATCAGCCACAGAACGAGTGAAACCTTATTGAATGAATGCCCAAAACCTCCTCACTACTGCCAAGCTATTTAGGTGGTACCAACACGTACGTCCGCAGTCACTCCTCTTTACTCCTCTTCTTCTTCTCTGCATCTCATAATTCTTCTATTTCAATCACAATTCGCAAAGATGAAGCTCGCGGTGTTTAGCTCCAAACCTTATGACAAACGCTACATCGAGGCGGCTCGTAGCGCTGCGGCTGCCAGAGGTGCTGCAGCTGCTGCGACTCGTCCCGCGTCGGCGGATATCGAGATTGTTTTTCATGAATTCGCTCTGGAGGAAGATACGGTTATCCTCGCAAAGGGAGCAGACGCAATCTGCGCCTTTGTCAATGACACTCTTTCGGCACCCGTGATTGAAGCCCTGGCAAAGGAGGGCGTCAAGGCGATTCTGCTGCGCTGCGCGGGCTTCAACCATGTCGACCTCGTGGCTGCCGAAAAAGCCGGCATCATGGTCGCCAACGTGCCGTCGTATTCGCCCGAGGCCGTCGCGGAGTTTGCGGTTGCGCTGATCCAGACGCTGAACCGAAAGACGCACCGCGCGTACAACCGGGCGCGGGAGGGGAACTTTGCGCTGGACGGGCTGATGGGGCGGACGCTGTTTGGGAAGACGGTCGGGTTTATCGGGACGGGGAAGATTGGGGTTGCGACGGCGAGGATCATGAAGGGGTTTGGGTGTCGGATTTTGGCGTACGATCCGTTTCCGGCGGCGGCGTTTGAGGGGGTTGGGGAGTATAAGGGTCTTGATGAGGTTCTTGCTGAGTCGGACGTTATCAGCTTGCACTGTCCTTTGATGGATAGCACGAGGAGGATTATTAACGAGGAGGCGATTGCGAAGATGAAGCCTGGTGCGATGTTGATCAATACTTCTCGAGGGGGGCTTGTTGATACGAAAGCTGTGATTAGGGCTCTCAAGGCGCAGCATTTGGGGGGTGTTGCGCTGGATGTGTATGAAGGTGAAGGATCGCTGTTCTATGATGACCATTCGGGGGAGATTATTCATGATGATGTGTTGATGCGGTTGATGACGTTTCACAATGTGATTGTGACGGGGCATCAGGCGTTTTTCACGGAGGAGGCGTTGATGGAGATTGCGGATTGTACGTTGAGGAACATTGATGAGTTTGTGGTGACGGGGACGTGTAAGAATTCGTTGACGAAGGATTTGAAGCTGGTGAAGAGGGATTCGTTGCCGGTTCGGGGCGTGTGATGGGTTTCTGGGTTGTTCATTCACAGATGTTAGGTAGAGTGTTGAAGTATTGGTAGCTTTCAAGTTTGCTTGCTCTTGGTGTTTGATGTTGATGTTGAGACTTGGCTATGAAGAGAGTTGGGAGAACCTTGGATGACGTTTTCTACCGTAGCTGGCGAATCGTTATTCTTTATATTGCTCTTGCAAACTGGGGATATAATTGGAAGCATTTTGCTTTTGTTTCGAAAATCTGTGGACCTTGTTGCTTCATTCTTACAACTGTTAGGTGTTTGTATGCTTATATATAAGTATCTTCGGTAGTTGATTTGGTCCCTTGTATGTGAAATGTCAACCAGAGTCCAAGTAGGTAATGACATAATTGGTAATAGTTTACTATGTTGATAGCTACCCCCTTAAATGATTCATAAAATGCGTATCTTTTATTGAATGCGTGGTAAACTGCTTCTGTGCTATGCGAAAGGAAGGTCCAAAAATTCATCAAATCATCTCTCGTAAAATGCCATAAATCAATCCATAGTCTCAATCACAAAAGTTACACTTCTCCATTCAGCATCTCCATTGCCGTGATTCTCTTCTCTGCCAACTGAGCCAGTCGAGCAGTCGTAACAGGTTGTCCGCTCTTCATGTTCAACAGTCGAGCGCTCTTGATTAAATTCTTGATCTCACGCCCATTCAGCCTCAACTCTGCAAGTTGATCGTAGTCTTCCTCGGCAACTTTGAATCGTGTCTCGCCGCCGGCACGCTCGATGAAGTTCTGCCAGACTTGGCGGCGGGCGGTCGTGGTGAGGTCGCTGTATGGAAGGAAGAGATCGACGCGAGACTGGAAAGCATGGTCGAGGCTCGAGGCGCGGTTGGTGGTCAAGAAGAGGATGCCCTGGTAGTATTCGAGCTTGGTCAGGAAGATGGAGACTAGCTCGTTGCGTGCGAGAGTGTCTTCCTTTCGTGCGCTTAGAAACACGTCTGCCTCGTCGAGGAGCAGCATTGCGTTCCAGAGACGACAGAGTTCAAGAGCTCGGTCTAAAGATGCTTCGACCTCATTTGGCTTGGTTCCTAGAGCGCCGGCACTCATTGCATACAGAGGAACTCGGCCCTTCTCTGCCACTGCCTCAGCCGTGTACGTCTTTCCAACGCCTGGGGGACCAAACATAAGGATAATAATGCCGCGACCCTTGTCGGTGACAAAGTCGTCAAAGTCTGAGTTTGCAAAGTTCTTGTTGTCGATAAACGACCAAGCAAGCTCTTTCTCATCACCAGGAAGGACCAAGTTCGAGAAAGCATCATCATTCCAGACGATATCCTTCATCTTCTCCACGAGGAACAAACCCCACTCCTTGGCCTTGAGATCGAAGCCGTTGACCCACGGCGTGCAAAGGAGGCACTGCTCGTCGGTAAGAGGAGTGAGATCTTCCTTGCGCTCCAACTTCGTCTCAGAACTCTTGACTGTGAGTTTGAGCTCGTCAATGGCAGCTTCTTCCTCGGAGGACGAGCTGCTGGTGCTTGCGTCGGAGCGGCGGCGGGGGCGTCGGACTTTGTAACCATCTTCGTCTTCGCTGGATTCGTCTGCCTTGGGCTTTTCTTCGGAATCGAGAGGGCGGAGGTTTGGCTTGACTACTTTGCAGCTGGCGTAGTAGGCAAAAGCATCGACAACAACCCGACCGGAAGCCTAGGGGTGTGGGATGTTAGAAGAATGCATTAAACTGAGTCATGGTGTCAGGGACTTACTGGTTCTTCTTCCTTTGCATTGCCTCTCGTAACAATCTTCCGACCTTCGTACTGCATGAAGTGATATGTCCTCAACTCCTCAAACTGACGACCGCGGGCAATCATTTTAGCCTTGATCGCATCCGGGTCGCAATCAAAGGAAATCGGCCAGGTGGGAAGCAAATGAGCTCGGCGATAGCCATCGTAGCCACCAATCTTGGTCTTCATCGTCGTATAACCGCATTTGTCACCGTTCCAATCGACATATTCCATATCAATGACCCAATATGCGGGGCAGGAGTAGCTTTCTTCAACCTTGTGGTGCTTGAGAACGCGGCAAATGGCGTCCTGCCCGTACATCTTGGTCATGACAAGCTCTCCAGGAGGAAAGATCTGCCAGAGGAAGTCAAACTGAACTTTTCCCGTGAGGCGAGTCTGCTCGAGAGAATTGACTGAAGGGCCAACAATGGGAAGTAGAAATTCGATCAGCTGCTGGCCAGCCTTGCTCAATTCAGGGTTCGAAGTGCTCTGGCAAAAGTCCTGCAGTCGCTGCCATCGATGGACGAGAGGTATGTAAGGAGAGCGGAAAGTCCAGTTCTCGCATTCCAGATCGAGGTCTTGATAGTTTTCGAGGACCTCTAGAAGGATCTTGCGCATGAAGGGACTGTTGATGGTGAAGGATTCGGTGATCCAAGAAGTGCCACAGTGAATAAAACGGTGGACAATGGGCATCTGGGTCATCTGTTTCTCCAGTGCAACCTGGTGGTCTTCTTCCGAGTCAAACTGCGACCAGTGGACGAAGCCTTGCTGGTAGAGTTTTGTGACAACAGAAGACGGCTCCTCCTTGGGGATCACCAAGGCTATGGCTGCGTCGGTAGAAGACATTGTGGATTTTGAGTGGCTTGCTTTTCTTTCTCTTTGGTAGACAGAATTTGGAGAAAAGAGTCCCCGTGGTTTTACATACATTTATTGAAGATTTAGAGAGAAAGATCAAATTGTGTTTTCGTTGGCGCAGTGAGGTCGATCTGAGAAGGCGAAGTCCCCACTAGCTTCAAGTGAATTGGAGTTGTTGATGTTGATTGCAAAACCTTTCCACCAGAGAATTCAACAAGTTTATATATCTTTCCGGTACTATAACACACTCTCAATTACACGGATAACCAACACGGATAATGATCAAGAATAGTGGAGAGTACGGCAGTTCAGCTTGCCACAAACCGAGCCGGGCCATGGCATTCCTAGGCTTGCTAGGCAGCCATCGCGATTCTGGCCAGTCAGACAACACCAAAGCTTTGAAACATATCTCTATACGTGTATTTCGGCCATTTATACCGTGATCTATTCGTATTATCGCGAGTTTGACTTGATATATTACTGTCTTGGTGGTACTGAAGCCTAAACTCAGCTGTGTTGACGGATCGTGCGAACAAATCAGAGTTCAAGAAACGGATCCCTTGAGTCGGCGTTGACTCGATTTGGCAGTTACAATATAGTCCAGGTATAGTTACTGGTAAAGGTAACCACACTTGTTGCCTTGAGCGCATCAGGATACTATTCGATATAATAGTTATAGGGCGTAACAGGAAACACATGCTGCATCGCTAGTTACATACAGCTAACATGAAAGGAATTGATGCTACTGCCGCAGCCAAACGGGTACCAGCTGCAAAGGCGGCATCAAATTAACACCCACACGCGGTTACTACGTGTCTTGATTTATCTGGTGAATCACGCATATGTTGAGCCAATCGAAAGTGCATGCTGCAGTTCAGTCGCGATGGCTTTACGGGTGATTGGCTGCTCGATTCTCAGTCACGTCACTCACCGAGAGGCCCCGTGTCGTGATGAATTGCCCGATAGGCAGGGAACCGGCATTCAAAGAAGCTGGATCCATGTCTCGGCATGAGTCTCTAAGAGAAAACTATCCTCCGCGGAAAATGGACATCAAGGTTGATGCTCCGCGGTTGTAAGACGAGATTAGGCAGCCGCCCGAGCTTGAAGCTATTCAAATTCCCAACCACCTCATATACAAACGTTTAACTTGAAGATCGTTATTTCCGTCGGAACTTCTCTGTATTGTCATTCACAGATCGGCACTTGATGGCATATGCAAGAATAAGCTCTCCATGTCTTGGATTCCGACTCCATCTAAAGTGCCCAATAAACGTTTATCTCGACCGTGTCAACCACATTCACCCACCCGCGATGCATCGCCCTTCCCCACACCGTAACCACGTCGCCCATTTTGAGACTTCGCACAAATTTGCCGTCTCCATCCAATTGCCCTTTGCCCTCCTCCATCGCTTGCTGCGCTTCTTTCGAGCCTGGAACGACGACGTCCCAGCAAGTCCAAGTCACCTCGTAAGTTGTCCATTCCCTAGAGGCCACTTTATTGCGCAGGATTTCCCGTGGACCTTTCCAAGGTGAATGGGCATAGTGATACCCAGGAACGCCATTATGGCTTACTGAGTTTTTCGGTTTGGGCTCGACTACTCTTAGCTTGCATATTGGTAGTTTCTTTATATCTGGACATCGTTCACCTGTTTGAAGAGACATTAGCACATCCAAATGACGCCTCGTTCCCATTGCTCTTGAGAAATTGAACTTACACTCATGGCTAGCGTCGAATTTCTCGAGACCAACTTCGAACCAAGTTTTGGCATCGATAAATGGGCCTGTCCTCTCGTCTGTGGTCCATCCTTGGTCGTGGCTGCGGATGCGAAAGACAATTTTCCGCACAGGATTCCTATGTATAGAAGTGTTTCTAATTAGTTGTTGGAAAGAATTTCGATCGTATTCTTCTTTAACAGGCCATGCAGCAATTCCTTCGGTCTGATAGGTGCCGTCTTCATCTCTAATCACGTCGTGTGTGAGCCCGATAGGAAAGGATCTCAGCTGTAAAAGCGTAACCTCATGAGTTTAAGGACCTTTGATGACCTCATTAATGAGACTCACCAGGAATGTGGATCCTTGGAAATCGAATTCACCATCGCCAACTTGTTCTGCATGAATGGAAAAGCTCGGCTGAGCTTTGGCAGATGATCGAGCCCAATATTCCGCGTAGTCCAAGATGGTTCCGACAAGCTCTGGAAGAAGCACAGTTTGGGACAGCATGACGCGTACGACCAGGACGTCGCTGAGTGTCGGTTCAAAAGGCATTGCATTACTCTTCCAATGCGGCGTCAGTCAATTTTTTAATTTTTTATTTAAATCACAAACGATCTTGTCTTGCTGAGTCGTGAGGCGAAATATCGAGGTTGGAGAGTTGGGCTAAGCTTGCACTGATGTCATTTAATTTATTTCTAGTCTTGTTTCAGCATCATGTCAATCACATGCAACAAATCAGAGCCAAGCACAACACATGTACAAGACAAGTACCTATGCATGGAACACAACAGAATCAGGACTCAAGGAAGGTGTCATAAACTACTTTATTATTACATATATGTACGTGAATAATATGATCGAATGAATGTGTCTAGGTATGTATGTTTGCACGCTACTCTTCATATACTTGTCCATGTAAACTGGTGAAATTCCCGTGGTCTCTACGACCTATTAATAGCATGGTCGAACTGGAGGACAGCATCGGCAAAGTACCACGTAGAAGGCACCGTCGAAGTAATAGGGAGCCCAACCTTCAGCTGGCAGCTGTTCAACTGGTTTATAGTCGATACGCTGTTTGTCACAGGAGTGTTGATAATGCCCGTGCTTGTAAAGTACGCACCGGGACCTGATGTCGCCTGGTTGAAGCTAGGGACATCAAGCGATGTCGAACCACAGACAATCGAGGCCGTGACTTTGCTCTTCCAGCTCCTGTCGGTAGAGGTGGTTGCGATCATGAAAGAAAGTTGATATGCGGACTTCACCTGCAGTTTGAAGGGAGCGCTAACAACGATGAGTGGTGCAGTATTGCGGATGTTGGTGGCATGGAAAGCGTTCAATTCGCCGTTGGGGCTGTTTGCATTGCTCACGCCGATGCTTGTCCAAGCGCCGGAGGAGCTCGACGAGGTGACCCATGGGCTCAGACCGGCCGAGAAATCACCGTTGGGGATGAGGTTGACTGGCGTGGGGGTCACGGTGACGGTTGCGGTCGTGGTAGTAGTGGCCGTGACAGTGGTTGTGACAGTAGCTGTGACAGTGGCCGTCACGGTGGCCGTCACGACGCTCGTAACAGTAGCTGTAACTGTGTTTGTGACAGTCGCAGTGACGGTGTTTGTAACGGTGTTGGTGATGGTGTTTGTCAGGGTGTTTGTAACAGCATCTGTGATGATGTCTGTGACAATGGTTGTGGCAGTTGCAACACCGCTATCAAGTTCTGTCGCCACAGTTTGCCATGCCGGTGCTGTAACGCCAGGTGTAATAACCGAGGTCGAAGTCTATCTCAGTCAGCATCATCTCCAATGAACAAGATGGGAGTATTGGGGAAAAGATGGTCATACCACTGTGACAGTCGCAGCAGGAACTGTCTGAGAGACTGTGACCGTCTTGGGCGTCACATTGATACAATCACAAGCGGCAGTGATGCGCTCAGGAGAGTAGACGAAGCACTTGGTGGCCATACACTTGGGCTGCCCAGGCTTTCCACGCTTGAATGGAGCATGGGTAATGACAGGCGGCGGCGGCGCCTGCTGCTGACCACTAGTGACAGTTGCTGTTGCTGTCACGGTCTGAGTTGTAGTCTGAGTTGCAGTCTGGGTGGCAGTCTGGGTTGCAGTTTGAGTTGCAGTCTGAGTGTCTGTCTCAGTGGCAGTCTGGGTTTCTGTCTCGGTAACAGTGACAACGTCTGTCTCAATTGCAGTCGCAATTGCAGTAACGATAGCAGTCTGGATGGAAGTCTCAAAGTCCGTTTCGATATCTGTTTCTGTGGAAATTGGAAACGTGGCCGTATAAACGGTTGTTGTAGAGCTGAGGAAGTCGGTCGTGGCAGCGGCAGTGCTGGTGACCCACAGAGTTGATGTTCTATCTACAACGTTAATGCCCTGATTCTTACACGATTCTTATATCAGGTATGTCAAACAAAGACTTACACCGTAGGCTCTGCTACTGTGACTGTTTGCGTAGCCGGAGCGAGAGCAGAGCAATACGCAGAAGCCGAGTGAGAGTATTCTCTGCTAACGAAACACTTGTACAGACTGTCATCTCTGCAGGCGTTGCGCTCGATGAGCTCCACTGGAGTTGCGGCCACACCGGCAACGAGGCCAAGCGCGCCAACAATGAATTTGTTCATCATGTTAACTTTCGAAATAGAAGAAGAGAACTCAAAAGAATGTCAAGGCCCCGATGAATGAGGGATCACTCATGCCTTGGGGAGAAGAGTTTGTATCGGCACGCCATTTACAGCTTATAAAGGGAATCGCCTCACGATGGAAAACACTAGTTTCTTCATCTCCTGAAGTCAGCCAGAGCCCCATAGCTCTATTGAATATGGGTTGATGGGTAGCTGGCTTGCTGTTACCCGCTAGCAACGATTTGATCGAATCTTCAAGAGAAAGACCCCTGTAAACTGTTGGACGGGATCCATTTTGCTGTCAATGTCCCTGAATAGTGCCACAAACTATTTAAACTAGCGGGCACTAGTTTTCTTCAGCTCGTCTGTGTTCCTGGCTCTGTCAGGGCTCACGATGGAAATAGTCTTTTAGGCCAATGGATCTTGATCTATTTGCGCCAAAGTGGAGAGGTAATCTCGGAAAAGCCACTGGCGCTTGGACATCGTAAGACCAGACCAACAGTTTGGAAACATCGAGACACAGCGTTGTTGCCGGACATAGGAGAAGACTGAATATGTACGAGTAATGCTTATTGTGTGTTCTACCAAGATTGAAGAGTAGCTCGTCCTGTCATCGCAAACGTGATTCTTTAACGCAATCAACCGGATGCATATGTATATGCTTAAACAATTTCATGAGTCATGCGTCTGGCAAGCTGTTGTATTTATATGCCTGGGACTCTTTAAACTCGTGTAGCTCCCGGCATACATGTATACATGCAGCCATTACAAGAGCAGTCATCCAGTTAAGACTGGTGGGAGGGACCTCTTGTAGAGAAGCTCTTCCAAACTCACTTCACGATATTTCGACCTCACCTGGGGGTCTGCGTGTTGATATTGCAAATGTGGGACTACAGTGCCGTTATGCGATCCAACAGCAGTAATCCCGGTCCCCATGTACGTGGTATTAGGTCATGATAGAGTCTATTCTTCTATATGGTCACTCCCTAAGCCCACCTAGATATTGGAGCAAATACATAATGGAATACCACAATAAGGCTTACTGGATTGTCGAGCCGTCAGGCTGACCTTCCAGTTTATCTACCGTACTATCTATTATCCGATAATACAGCGTAACTACCAATAATAAAAAGGGGCTCATCTTTAGCAGGCGTTCACGATGTGTCTTCCAATCAAACTTCTACCCTAAATGTTTATACACGGACTTGGACGGTGTATAGGCTGATGCAGTGACCAGACTCTCGTTGCAGCAGCCGGTGCATATTCACAAAGTTTTAAAACCTTTAAAGGTCTTCAAACACTAGTTGTAGAGAATACATTCACAGAAGACTACTTTTAGCGTCGTCTGATCTGAACAGCTCATCTTCTCGGCGATTTAGCTCTCTCACAGGCCTCATGTTTCCTGAACAGTAGTAGAAGAAGTTTCTCCCAAACTCGTTTATCTTTGCCAAAATATACTAAATTGAGGAGAATATTTAGGTTACTTGGTAGCATTAACCTTACTCCATTCAATCTACTTCAACTGCAACTGGCATAATGCCAATTTTTGTGCCAAGCAGAAGACCGGTAATGAGCCTTACCTACATAGATTGGCATGTTGCGTCACCTTCACATAGAAATCCGATAGTTAAGGCTGTTTTCAACATAATACGCTATGTTGATGATCCGTACCAGACACTAGAAGCTAACATTGAACATATGTTGTACGAAGCTCCCGGAGATACTGCAACTCGCGAGTAACTACAGGGGCCTGCCCCTCCCCCCCCCCTTCGAGACAGCCACAGAGCAACTCCTATACTATTATAGTCTCTCTAACTAATGCATCAATTGCATATCACTGCATCCTAAGTGAAAGTCTTAATCTTTCCTTCGCCTCGAGTGGCGATCTCTGTAGATTGCACAATTGTAAAATTGCCGTCGTCTCCCTTGCGTATATCTGCAATCATAACAACAGAGCCGGTTTGCTTTTCTCCAGTCTTCTTATCATTATACATAAGTTCCCCTTCATAAGCAATGGAGCCACCCCCTCCAGGAGCTTCCCACACTTTAAGCTGCTTTTGGCTGATGAGGGTCAGGTCATGGGCAGCACGAGTGCCCGTGATATACTCAAAGTATACTTGGCGGGGGACGTGATCATGATTAATTCTGATATAGCGTTCCAGTCAGCAACTACGGAACAATTACATATATGCAGCACCAGGTAAGACGGGCAGTACAACTTACTTGATGGTCACGTCCTTTGCCATACGGCTCTCAAACGTGTTAATTGCAAGCTCATCATCTAGCTGAAACAGAAGGTTGTGCCAATATTCTGATAGCCATTCAAACAATAGACTATTTTCGCTTTTATGAGAAGTCGCCATAGTTGATTCGTTGTGATTATTGTTAGTGAGAAACTCAGGAAAGGGAGGGGGAAAGTGTGATATAAGTACTGGATAGAATACTTAGGCATGGAGACATCACCGCTAAAGGCAAGAGTTGTATTTCCAAAAAAGGCAATACATATTACCAAGCACACATATCTGACACCCTTTTGTTTATTCTATCCACTATAAGCTGACAATGGTCTTATGCACAATACCCAAGCGAAGTTTATTTAACGCGCCTCTAAGAATGTCTGGTTCAATACTAGCCCGCAACTAGAAAAAGTAAACAGCACCAAAATTCTCAACGAAGATCAGCTGGAAACTATCCCCAGATTCGCCTATTGTGGGTAAGTATATAATGGAGAAGGATTTCCAGCCATAGTCTATATAAGACTATTTGTAGTCTCAGACAGCTAGGGAAGACTTAGTATGAGGAGTTGTAATACCGCATAAATAACCATCCTCAATAAGTCTCACAGATGGTATGCTTTCCATTTTCTTCTTAACTCTTTACCTTACATCAGTTTCTCCAAGTATAATACGAACTAGCGCAAACCTGATCTCACGATTCTCAACAATACAGCAACCAGAACAACAAGGTTTTTTTTCAACTATAGCGAATCCGACATAATGGCATACTGTGTGTGTCTGATGAACATTTGAAGCACTGCTTACAAGATGAGAACGGCTGCACATTATTGTACTGTGGACTTTTTCCACCTACCTGAGATATCGCACAGTCTAGAAGCATTGGACCTAGCGTATATACCTGCGATTTATATCAGCCACGTGCCATTTCAAGCAGCACATACAAGTTTTTCATGGTCCTTTTGTTATCAATTTGGTGGGAACTATCGTTAACCCATTCCATAGAGGCCTCCGTGATCACATAAAAAGAACTTGGTTATGTGTCCAACCCCAGATAACACTCTACTGCTAATAGAGACACATGTCACTTCGGCTTTGCCTAATTTGAGCTTAGAATGGAAATGCTGGTTCAAAATATTTCTCGACTCATCCAACATAGGAATTCCGTGCTGAGCTAATGCTGGACTAGCCTGCGGGGTTCTCTCAAATCCTCTGCTGATAGAGAGCGTAACGCGCGTTCAAAGGTTGAGAACAGATTGCAATATCGCCGCCACCACATATATGGCAGCATCTTCCCCGAAGTATATATACAGCAATATTTATACCAGATTTTATCTGCGACTGCACCTCTCTCTCAGGTATTATTCATCTCGTTAAAATGGCTACTTATACTCTTGCTCCAGTTAGCCTCAGCGACAGCGAAGATTTGAGTCGAAACAATATATCAGCCTTTTGGCAAAATCCTAATTGGGTCTTAGCATGGAAACACAGTACGCTGGAAAAGCAGATTGATATAACCACCAAACGCTACCCGCGTAGACTGATAAGTGATCACGCAACTGCCCGACATCAGAAGGCCATTGATCCTCAAACCGGACGGCTCGTGGGATATGCTCGCTGGGTCCTGCCTGATTCATATGCTACTACTGTAGACGGTGAGCCAACTTGGCCTGAGGCTTTGGGCCCAGTAGTATCGCCAGAGGAAGCAGAAGAGATCAAACGGATCGCTGAGGCAACTCCGTTGAATGCGAACAACGAAACGGATCCTCTTGACAACAATGTTACAAAAATGAAGAACGAGGTTCTGGAAGGGAAGACCTTTTTTGGTGGGTAAGCAAGATAATTGGAATATGGGAGAGATACTGAATCGTTACGAATAATAGTGCTGGAATATTTGGCTGTCCATCCCGAAAACCAAGGAAAAGGAATCGCTACACTATTGGTGCAGAGCGGTATGAAGGAGGCGGAAAAGCTGGGACTTGATATTTTTGTTCTTGCGTTTCAACATGGGTGGGGAGTGTATGGCCGACTTGGATTCAGCGTTGAGCGGGAACTGATCCAAGATGATTCCATGTACGGAGGCGACGGTCACTACGGAGTTCGGTGTATGATATATAAGCAACCTCCGAAGACCGAAGTGTAATCAGATGAGCAGAAGTCGTTATAACTTTGAGTAGATAGAAGCCCTGGGTATAGTTTTATACAAGTAATAGAGAAGTGTTGAGCTATTTCACCCAAGATGTAGTAGTCCCCATCCATGATATCGAGACTATTTCTCCAACAGAGTTGTATGTCAACATTAGCATTGGCACTATTTCCTTTACTTACCTTAATGCCTACCCTAATTCTTCGATAATGAAACTGAGACGCTTATATGGAAGTGAGTACAGTAGGATTTTCAAGTCCAATAGCTGCTACGCTTAGCTCCTCGAAAGTACTATACTATTATACATGTTGAGATATGACTTAATCAAAACCTTGTCTATATACATTTTTCGACGGTTTGTTGTACTTATTCTGATTTCAATGAGAGATACCGTGCGATTCCATATGTGAGGAAGAATATTGATCCTTTCCGAAATAGACTATCCCTGTTTGATCATTATATTATACTCGACGCCTCCTATTAGCATATAAGCGCTAGAGTATTCATGACACCGCAAACTCAATGAACTTTGAGACTTCATCTAACAATTCTCCAGGAATGTTGAGTATTCCACACTAATTCTTTAAATGAAAAATTACTGGACACATATGCCGGCTCATCTAGACTCCTCATTTAGTCCAGATTGGCTCTCTTCTTTTGGCCATGGTTAACATTCCGGGCACATCCAAACGCTGCAAACAGTGTAGCGTGCGCCGAGTTAAGGTGCGCCCTTCTTCTCCAATTCCACGCAACATTCACGCAGATGTCCATTTCGATATTCACAATTTTCTAACGTGCAAAAGTGTGACCTTGGACAACCGAGTTGCACAAGATGTCTTAAAAGTGGTATTAAGTGTAGCGGCCCAACAGCAGGATCGGTGTTTGTTCACCGAGATGTGAATAATATCCACCGCGTGTCGGATAGGAAAATGCTGAGCCACGCATTCTAAAACCGGCATTTGGACATCACAACATTACCCACAGCAACTATCAAAGAATTGCATGATAGTGCTCAATCCAATAAACTGATAGCCCCAATTTCAATACCTTCTTCTCTGGGCTGCTCTATGGATCTATATCGTTCTGCTGTGGCCGATCTCTGGATTGTGACGTGCCACCCGGCTACCATTCCTATCGATTAGAATGTCGAATCGCCAATGTCGAGTAGCGCACGAGAAATTCTCCCACTCGCATTTGGAAGCAAGACTCTAGATTCTGCTCTTTTTGCCGTCGCTACAATGTTTATGGGAAAGCTAAGGAGTGATAGCAAATTGCAAGGTCTTGCCTTTGGCAGCTTATCCTCCAGCACTCAGTCGGTTTCGCTCCGAGCTGGCCCTGGGTTTTGGAGCCAAGGCAAACCAGACAAATAGAACAGTCCGTGCAATAGCAATTGCACTAACTTTACTCTTTTACGAGGTATGTGTCCTACAGTTCACGAGGTCAAAGCCTAACCTTAACCCACGCGCTGACAAGGACCTAGTGGCTGGCCAACGGTTCCAAGGGAGAGGGATATCGTTTTCATCTCAATGGGGCCCTAGATCTTATCAAGAATTCAGGCCCGGAAGCCTTGGAATCTTCCATTACGAAAGCGGCTTACACAGATCTTCGATGCGGGGCTGTAAGTTGATAGCTCGGATAACTCAGTTCAGCTATGACGGGATGCTGATACTCTTGTCGCACAGTTAGGCGAAGCATTAAAAAGTCGGAAAGCGACATTTCTTGCTTCAGACCAGTGGTTCACTATTACCAACAAATTATCGATAAAAAACCATCGGTAACTGCTATTGGACATTGTTGCTCATATACCCGGTCTCCTTGAGCGCGGCGACCAGTCAAAACTTCTTGGTCCGATAGAGATGAAGGATACCATAAATCTCGGCGCAGTAGATAAATGTTGTCACCAAAGTGCTCAATCTCTTCAAATTATCGAATATTTCGGAGATTGCGATTCAATAATCCGAAAGCTTCACTGTTGGCTACAATCGCTGGAGGAATCTGAGGGGGGCCGCGTCTGGTGGTACTCAGATGAGCCAAATCCGGATCAAAACTGCCAACAGCGTCACGCGGAAAAGTCAAAGGACGATATTTACTCTTCGACAATACATTTCTCAAACCCTTGGATTCCGGGGGTCGTCATCTAGTACTGGTCCAGCTTATTGGAACTTTCGAGCACAATCCTCGAGGTACGCCAGTTGATCAATCACAAGTCGCCCTACACACCCTGCCTCGGAGTATTGAGCGCCGACTCACCATCCTTATTCATGCGTCTGGAAACTGTGAATGAATTCGCGATACACCTTTGCCAGACCGTGATTCACCTTAGCTCGACACTAGAAGGCTGCACGATGTCACACATTCCCGCAGAACTAGCGGAACAGTATTTCATACGCCTACTTTCCACCGATCAGGAAAGTCTCTTACAGAAGGATGCCGAGTATTTGAAGAATAGGGAAAAGGCATATATTGGCTTACAGCTCTGCAGAAAGGGGCTGGACATATTGCGCTCTACTGTTAGAACCTGATTCACACCTCTAGAAGTTATGAATTGGATATTTCTGTATTTTATCCCTGGGCTAAAAACTTTTGAATCGACTATACACGCGCGTAAAATGCTGCATGGATGTTAACCATTTGGCGGAGGGAATACGCGGGAAGTGAATCAAGAATTTATCGTTCTTTCACACACCCTTGCTCATAATATTCCTCTCCACTGCCTAATTATTGTCATTTGGTACGAGGAACAACATTGATATGAGAGCGCGTGTTCTTAGTCCACAAGGGAGTATTTAACTTAGCCATCAAGAGTGTAATATAGGAGAATTTTTATTTGCAAATGCTAGGGCTATCTACACTTAAAGAACTGCACCTGTGTCTTGTCACAACATCTGGCTCCACATCTAGTCCGAAGACAGAGGTAGCCAGTTAGCCAATTCACGACCAATCGTATGCGGGTCATCCTCTTGTACGTAATGTATCGCCTCTCCCAAATACACGACCTTTGTGTTCTTCAATCTTTGCGCAAGCTCCTCCGCTTTTGCCTCCCAGACAAGTCCTCCGGGTTTGGCCCAGAAGAGTAGTTTCGGCTTGTCACTGGCCAATAACCACTCCATGTATTTCTTCGCATAGGACCATGTATTTTCAGGTTGGCCCTCTACAGGAAGCTCGTTGGGAAGTCGATAAATTGGCTCACGCCATTCGGGCTGAAGAAAGGGTTCGCGGTATGCGTTCATTTCCTCATCGGTCAATGGTCGCACCACGCCACCGGGAAGATTATGCTCGATAAAGACGTTCTGATCGATTAAGAGGCTTCTACCGACTTGAGTATCTGGATCTCGAAACTTCTTCCAATTTTCCACCATAACAGGCGGTAAGTCGCTCCAATTCGCTATAGGGTGGATAAATTCCATGAAGGCAATACCGGCAAGGCGGTGCTCATTTCTACGGGCCCAATTGAACCCGAGGGCTGATCCCCAGTCGTGAATGACGAGATTTATTGCTTGGGTTGGTAAGACTGTGTCTAAAAAGGCGTCGATGTACCGCTGATGGTCCTCGAAAAAATACGCTCCAGGGACCTTGTCGGAGTTCCCAAATCCAATCAAGTCTGGGGCAATGCAACGACCCTTTTCAGCTGCATAAGGAATGATATTTCGCCAAAGATAGGAAGACGTAGGGACACCGTGCAAGAACACGGTGACTGCTGACTTTTGATCAGAGGCTCCCACGTCAACATATGCCATTTGGGAGCCCAAAATCTGTACTTTCTTCTTCTCGAAGGGGAATTCCCCTGAAATGGCTGTTGGGACTTCGGTCATTGTGGAAAGGGAGAGAAATGCTTGCGTAGTTGCGGTTGTACTTGAATAGAGGAGGAATTGCTAAGAAGTATATGGCGTTTGGCTGATTTGGGATCGACTTATATAGTAATGGAGACATTTTGGAGGGCGTAGCTTTCAAGTTGAGATAGGATCTTACAAATCAACATGCGTGCATTATGTTTCGTGAAATATATGTTGATTTCGCAGTCATAAGTTCACGCAATCACTTAATACACAGTTCTCAGACTTGATCATCAAAGTGGTACTTCGTGGGAAGAGCGGCCCCGCAGTTTTGAAACATCGTCGCTACTTCTACTTCGAGACTAGTTATCCCGTGTGGCGAGTTGGCTCGGGTTTAGAAGTGTCTGTAGGATTGGGGCAAAGAGACATTGGCTTTAACTCCCATCAGGAAGCGTTACATAACTTCGCTGCTATTTCTGGATTTGTATTGGTTCTAGATTGGACACAACTCGTTCTAGACTTTAAGCCGAGGTATTGTCGTGTGGTCCAGTTTACAAATGCCGCTATTATGGCCCGGCGTAAGAAGCGCCACATATTGCTTCAGCAATTGTAGTCTTCTATAATTCTAATCAATCCAAAAGTGGAAGTCGCAGCGAATGGAAACTGCATAATGATATGAGTCAACTATGATGAATTTTGAGAGCATTCTATTATGAGGAGTTACATTGAAGTGATGCGGCTTGCCTAAGAGGTCATGACGCCTGTGTTGCATTTATAAGCTGTTGGTCGAGCAAAATATATAAGTTGTCGAGTTTGCACTCTTGACTGATCTAGGTTGTAAAATGAGCAACATAGATACTCATATCATTCTCTAAAGAATAACTTTTAACAACGCGAAGATGTCCATGACAGTGGAAGATTTGATGCAGTTTGTGCACCCAACAAATGAACCTTTACTTTATCTGACTGGATTACTAGGCAATGCTTTACAGTTCATACCGCTGATCAGTACGACATGTTTGTTCAAAAAAATGACATCCCTTCCGTAAGAGAAGAGGTTCCAGGAGGTGGCTCGGCGTTATGGTTTGGCTCGCCTTCAGCCAAGAGAGTGATAGCACACATGCATGGTGGTGGATTGGTCATGTATGCGTCCACTTTCCATTTTGGCTTGGCCTACGAAATGTATAAAGCTGCAATTGCAAGTGGCGACGATGTTGCGCTTGCTGTGCTTGCTTACGGTGAGTGTTCATAACATCTTCATATCTCCTTTAGCTTTCTAACTGTGTCAGATACATGCCCGAGTGCTCCCTATCCAACTCAGCTACGCCAACTGGCCGCATTCGTTACGCATCTTATGCATGGTCGGGATTCGAAAGATGTTGGTCGTTACCCATCATAATCTCGACTTTACGCTAACGTGTTCAACATCTGTAGATCGATTTGTACGGAGACAGCGCTGGTGGATTACTGATCCTCTCTCTCCTCCTTCACATCGTGCATCCGCACCCCAAAATCCCCCTACTCTCCATCCCAGCAGACCATCGCCTTGGGAGAATCTTGATGATATCTCCTACCACGCCAATGGTTACACCAGCTATGACAGCAAGTAAAAACATTGGTCGCGATTTGGTTGGCGTGGATGAGGTAGCTCAAATGTGGAACGTCATCAAAGGTAATTGTGATCCTGATTTTGAGCTCGTCAATCCATGGTTCGCTCCATTGTCAGTGCTCAATGAGGACTGGTTTGAGACTTTACCGGCTGGGACGATCACTATTGTTTCGGGCGGATTAGAGATATTCGAAGAGGACATCGCCAAACTTGCTCAAATAATCAAGGTGAGAATCAACATACCCATTCAACTACTCTATGTTACCGAGCATCAGGATTAATGAAAGACAGAATAAACATCAATGTCCAGTCGACATTCTCGTAGACCCAAATGTTGGTCACATTGCCTTTCTCAAAGAAGGTCTGATGGGCATCCCGCCATCAGAGTATACAAGCCGCGTGATGGAATGGGCCAAATTACGGGAGTAGTGTGGAATATGAAAACGCAAGTAAGATATCTTCCGGGCGTGTTAGTCACATTATAGAGGCTACTAGTTGTCAATGATAAGGCATGCAGGGACGATATCGTAATTTGCTAACTTTTTTCATTTTCCTTTTCTTTCTCGCCGTTCTATACTTGAACTCATTGATTGTGAATCTTTCATGAAATGTACCTACAACGCTGATGATCATAATTCTTGAAGCAGGCTGGGATCTTAGACGACGTTAGTTTTTAGCCACTAGCTAGATTAGATGCCCAGGTCATATATAGCGAGAGAAGACGCTACTGCGGTTCCATCGCATTTGACCTCGATTGATATCTGTATGACAGCTGCTCAGAACGTTGTTGTCTTATACTCTTAGCTTTTACTGACTGCTCCTTTATTCATGCCAATCCATGTCATCTCCTGCATCTACTAGGCTGGCAAGCTGATTCTTGGACTTCTGCTGGGATCCCATTTCCTAGATTATAGTTAATAAAAATTGAGACAACAAATACCAATTGTGACCAACCTCTTCAACGGTATCTTTGATCATGTAGCGCGTCACCTGTACATTTTTCTCCTGTCCAAGTCGAATTGCGCGCGCGATGGCCTGACTCTCCACAGCAGGGTTCCATTGCAACTCGACGATGAAGATGCGATTCGCACAAGTTATGTTCAGCCTAGAAGTTGGTTAGCATTGTATATACCACTAGTAGTGAAAGAAACCTTTAACGTACCCAAAACCGCCAGTTCCAGTTGTCATGATGAGTACTGGCTTCATTTTATCGGTCTTGAACTGCTCGAGCTTATCTTTTCTTTCCTTAAGCGAGCAGTTACCATCAATATCAAGATATTGGATATTAGCTCTGTCAAGATATTTCCGAAGAAGCTGCAGTGTTCGAGTCCAACATGAAAATATAAGACTATGCAAATTAGACTTGAACCTCTGGTAAGTAATGGATAAAATTACCTTTTGGACTCCCACAGGCCGTGTTGGACATCCTCGATCAACGCGTTCATCTTTGTTGAATAGCCCTCTTTACTGAAATCAAAGTAATCATCACCGTCTTCAGCCTTATCTTTCGGGGGGCAATTATGAACACTGTCATCGTCTATCATTGCACCGCTCTCAACCATGGCATGTCTCAGCCGGCTTATACACACGGGGCAATGTTGAGCTTGCCCTCTATCATTCAGTGTATTCGACTGTTCGATGCACTCAGAGCATAGGACATGAGCGCATTGCTCATACCTGTTATGGTTTAACTGACTAGACCCAAGGATTGGCATTGGCATTTCGCAACCAGCACACGTAATCTCGCTGTTTTCACCAACGGCCGAGATGAGGGCCTCGCGTGCATCTCGGTAGCTGCGTCGGTCCCAAGAGAAAGGCTGCTGCCAAGTTCCATGGTTGCACAAAAGACGCATTTGTAAGTTGATCTGGAAGGTTCCGAATTTGGAGTTCTGCTCAGCCTCTCCAACACGATGAAGGATCTTGCGACGCAGAATCTTCATCGTATCCTCGTATTGCTTGCGTTCCTCCACAGAGAAACTCAGTTTGCGCACCGTTTTACGCAATTGAGGCAAGTCAATTATCTCTTTTGTGCGACGCAAACAGAACGCCTGAAAGAGCAGAACAAGGCGGTCCTTGGCCAATGTCGGCGACTCGTTGTCGGGAATCTGCTCAAAAGGGACCTCTATGTACTTCCGAAAGGTAGCCGCCTTGTTAAAAGGCTCGACACGTATGAATGCGAAAAGAGTACCAATGTCGGCGAGTTTGTTTTGAATAGGTGTTCCTGTGAGACACC